ACTTAAGTGACTACAAAACGTGTAAAGCTTATAGTTATTTTAAATGTGGCTGGCTTGAACCTTTATTTTACCATCAAATAGGAATAGAGAGTGAATATTGCTATTTAAAAGGGAACTGTAGGAAATCTGAAAAAATTAATGATCCCTTTCACAAGCTATGGATTATTATTAATAAAAAAACTGCTAAAATAATTTCAGCACATTGCACTTGTCTAGCTGGTCTATCGCAGACATGTAATCATGTTGCTGCAAGCCTCTTTCGAATAGAGGCTGCTGTTAGAAATGGTTTGACAAATGTAGCTTGTACTAGTTCAAAATCAGAGTGGCTTCCAAATCGTAGCATAGTAGCACCAACAAAAATATGTGACTTAAAATTTGATCGTGATGAATTTGGTCAGCGTGGAAGAAAAAAGCGTTCACTAGTATCAAATGAAAAGCGTAAGTACAGCCCATTAGTAAACTGTGATATAAAGCTTTTAAATTTAACAGACATAGCAAAAGCAATCGAAACTGTTGCTCCTCATAGCATTATAACTTCTGCTGTACCTAAACCTGAAATTTATTATATGGAAGAATTAATCGTGTTTGAAAATGTTACCAAACCTACAATTTTGACCATGGATGATATTATTGTTATGTCAGACAATAAATTTTCTTTTTGTGAAAATATAAAAACAAATATGACTCAAAAAATAATTACAAATATAGAGCGTCTGACTATGGATCAAAACACAAATAAGCTTTGGTTTAATTTTCGAAAGCGAGTTATAACTGCTTCAAAAGCTCACGATGTTCTAAAAAAAATTAAAAAGATTAACATGGGCATTAAAGTTGACATGTGGTCATTACACCAAAGTATTTCAGGGTTAACTTTTGTGAACCCAGATATACCTGCATTGAAGTACGGGAGAGCGATGGAAGTTGAAGCAGCAAACCAGTTTTTTGAAGTTATGAAATCCTTTCATCAAAATTTAACTGTAAATGAATGTGGATTATTTTTAGATGTAGAAATGCCCTATATAGGTGGAAGCCCTGATAGAATTGTTCGATGTTCGTGTTGCCCGCCAGCTTGTTTAGAAATAAAATGTCCATTTTCTATAAACCATACATCACCACAAGATCCTAATATATCTCTTCCTTATATTCCAAAAAAGTTAAATGAAAAATTTGTCATTAACAAAAAGCATAGATACTATACTCAATGTCAGGCTCAAATGGGGACTGCTAAGATGATTAATTGTTATTTTATGGTATGGACAGCTCATGGTTATATAATTGATAAAATTGCATTTGATGAAGCTGGTTGGTTGAGTATGAAAGTTGATTTCTTTAAGTATTACAACGATCATTACTTAAATACTGTCTTTGTAGATTTTACTATTAACTGATTGGAATAAAATTATGAAAATGAAAATCTGTGTTTTAAATTATAAAACCCTTCTTATATTTAAATTGGCATTTATAGATTTTTTTTTTCCTATAAAAGAAGACAATAAGATCCAAATAATGGTGTAACAATATTTAGGTAAAGAATATACTCAAAATCAAAAAGTTTATCCACGCCTCTTATTATAGTAAAAAGAAGTAATAAAATGAAACACATGTATTCATTAAAGTGCACGGTGGTGTCCGGCATCCCTTACAAGTAATTAAAAATTAAAAAAACAACCTCAGTAATTAAATAAAAAAATACAACCTCAGTACTATCGTGTGTTTAATACAAGAAGGGGAGGAAGTTTAGTAATTTTCCAAAAGTTTTCCCACCCACAAATGTTTATTAAGACCACTCCCCCTCCCATTTATTAACACCAAAAATTAAAAAAATCTCTTTAATCTTTGTGGAAAATAATGTTTTGATTTTAATAAAATAAACTTTTCGACACTTTATACACAGGGTGGCCACAGCTCCTCTAAAGTATTATTGTAATTATAAAACAGTTGTTAAAGATGCACAGTTGACCACAATCCACACTAACTTAAATTGATTTATGCAAGTTCTGTAAAAAAAAAAAAAAAGCCAACCCTTAAATTAAGATTATTATTTATAAGGTCAGAAATAAAATATACACCCTTTCTTGTATTAAGCATTTAAGAGTAGTACTAAATTAAAAAATATATATACATTTTAAACAATTTTTTTTATTAAAGCAGGCTTTAAATTGCACAAAGCTGCACACGATAAAATAATACATTTTTTAATATTCGAAAAGTTTTTATTCTGTTTATAGCCCTTTCTATGTGAATTCTTAAGTTAGCAACATCAGTAGTCTTCTTACATTCACTTGCAGTCATTTGACTTTTTACTCTTGCACCTGGTGGGACTGATAAGCTGCAATAACAAAATAATAGTTCTTCTCTTATTTGAAATCCTCTGTCTGCCATCACCTCATCGTCTCTTTCCAACAGATCATAAAAACCACTGTCACTTGTAATAAATTTATCTGATGCTCTGCCACCGTAACATTTGGATAGAAACGTTATGTATCCATTTGGTGCTATACCAATTAATACTTTCACAGTGTTGTGATGCTTATAATCAGACCAAGTCACTGCTTGGTTGTAAAGGGACTTTGGACGTTCAATAAATATTTCAAAACAATCAAGAATCACTCTACACTTGTGATGCTTTGCTTTCACAAAAGACTGTGGCAAGTTTTTTTTTATGACTTCACTTGGCAGCCAAACAATAATAGCTTGTCCAAGAATATTAGCAATAATTCTAATAAAAGTTGTAAAAGTATTAGAACACAAAGATTTTGAAATACCAAAACGATCAGCCATATCTTCATTTAATAAACCTAAGCGCAACCGCATAAGTGTCATTAAAAGTTCTTCTCTGTGTGATAACAGTTTACATTTAGATACAGATTTGAGTTGCTTAACTTTGCTATGTGAATGTTTTGGGCCTCTCCAATAACGAATTGAGGGTAAAAATGGTTTTAATAAACCAAAAATAACGTTAAAAATAGCTATGGAAGATATACCAGTATAAAAGTTCATTTTCTTATCATTGTTAACTAATCTCCAAGAGAATTTTTGTTTAGACTTGACTGTTTGTTTTATTTTTAATTTTTTTAATTGATTAGTAAGGCTATTTACTTTACTCACGTAAGAGGTGATAAGTGAAGATTTATATTCACATGAAGTACATTTATTAGGTAGTGGTAAACTCATTGAATAGGTATGGTCTGATAATATAGGTGACAAAACATCTGCATTAAAACTAACACTTGGAAACTTGGTGACATTACTTTTTTCAGTCAACAAAGGTTCTACAGGCTGCATTTTATTAGAACAATGTAAAGAAGTGATTGGGTGCTTTAATAATGTTCTTCTAGCTTTTTTTTGTACAGGTTGATCAAAACCCATATTTATTGTTGGATTAGGGTTCATAACAGTTGGTATTTTATCAACAAAATGATCAGAGCATACTCTATCAGCAGTTCCAGGTTCCCATGCACTTCCTTTCTTCTTTCCTTCTCGTCTAAGCTGACTAATCCAGTGTTTTCTTTTTTCGCTATTTCTCTTTAAACTTGGGAAACAAAACATTCGGAATGGTAACACACATCCACACTCGGATAATATCTTCCCTTCGTGTTGAAAACACGTTTTATTTTTCAGTTTTTCTAGCTTATAAGAACTATTGGTACATCCTATAACAGCACAATTAACTTTCATCATATCACTATATATTGTATCACTAATTCGCAACTGAGAAAATAAATATTTACCCTTCTAAATTCGTTCCAGGACTTTTTTTTGCGCGGTATTAATAATGGCAGAACTTACCTTGAACTGGTGTATTGCCCTTTCCTCTTGGTGGCCCTGGGTATGGGCATTCATTTTAAGAAAATTCAATAAAACATTAAAAAACAAAAAATGACTTCCACAAATAAAACTAGATTTAAGCCAGCTAAAATTGTGCTCCAATCCTTAAATTAAAGTTCAATAGCTTTGGTCTCTGTAGTTAGATTAAAAATGCTTGAATCTAGAACGAAAAACGAAATTGTATATATATATATATACGGATAAAATTTTTGTAATTTTTTTGTAATAGGCAAGTCCAATCCGAATCTGTTACCTGGTTATTAATCTGGTCTTGCTCAAGTGGTTGTATATATTTTAAGATTTATTTTTAAGTCTCTACCTATTCTTGGTATTCCAAAAAAAGGCAATCACATACATCGATAAAAATATTTTCTTTCCAATTTCATACATTGAAATAACTGAACACAAACTTTTATTTGAAAGTTTTTTACTGGTAGAGAACGACATATTTCATACTGACTTAGTGAATGAGTAATAATGAACTGAACAGAGAATGTAGTAATAGTTAAAGTTAAAAAATGTCAGTTAACAAATTTTAATAGTAAACTTTAGTGAAATCGTGAGTTTTACTCACACAACACCTTCACTTCTTTACAAAATTCATACATATTAGTAATTATAAAAGTTTTCTTTTTTTTAATGATCTGCATTCAAGTTATTTGAGTTCTTCCTACAGTCAGGACATGTTCTAACTAAAGCAAGAATTTGTATAATAAAATTAACAATTAAAACATTTTTAGATTACGTTGAGGTTGTTGAATAGTAGTTTTATCAATGGCAATAACATTGCTGGTTGAGGTTGTAAAATAAGGTAAAAACTTCTAGAGTTTTTTTAAACTAATGACAAAAGAATCCTTCTTATAAAAAAAGTAACTAGCACTAACAGTAGTAGTAGTAGTAGTAGTAGTAGTAGTAGTAGTAGTAGTAGTAGTAGTAGTAGTAGTAGTAGTAGTAGCAGTGGCGGATTAAGACTTCTTGGGGCCCGGGGCTGTTTTTGTTTTTAGAAGCCTTTTTATGGGCCAGAGCCTAAAAATGACTAAAAAAAAAAAAAAAGAAAAAAAAAAGAGCCTCTAAAATTTTTAGGGGCCCCTAAATTTGCAGAGCCTGGGGCTATAGCCCCCAGCCCCCTAGCTCCCTTGATCTGGCACTGATTCGTAGTAGTAGTAGTAGTAGTAGTAGTAGTAGTAGTAGTAGTAGTAGTAGTAGTAGTAGTAGTTTTTGCGAGCCCTTAATCTGCATTTTATGAGCCCTGGCGCTACTTAAAAAGCCCTCATGCTACTTCACGCGCCCTTATGCTGCAATTTGAGCCCTCATGCTGCAATTTGAGCCCGTTTGTTGGCAGCATAAGGGCTCTCTGCGCCCTTATGTCACGGGCTTTATTTGTGAAAGTAATCGAGTTTATGTTGTGATTTAGAACTATAACATTTAATAAGTATGCGTACATATAATATAGCATTATTTAGGATCTCAAATCAGACTTTTATTTGATTATGATAACATAAAGATAATAATTATTTATGGTTTTATTTCTTAACTATGTGGTACTTTTTTATCTGTTTTTAAATTAAGCCAATATTTAATAATTTTATTTATTTGTCCAAGCATTATTATTAGTAACATTAACATGAAACCATTTTAAAAGCATTTTATATTGATCAAGAGTGTTTCAACTAAACTTTTTTCAAATTTTATTTTAAATCATTATAGGACTTTTATATTGTAAATGGTTCCTGCTTATCCAAAGCTCCTTCTAATATATTCAATATGTTATATAATTTTTTAAAATACTTTGGAATAAAAGAGTATGATTAAGAAAATGATTAGGTTGTTTTCATCTTCGTTTAATTAATTTTATTTATTTTTCTAAAACACTTTTATTTCAGTTTAGTTTCAGTTTAATTAAAATGAATACTTGTTCCATTTGTCAACTAACCTCATTTACAAGTTTATCCTGTGCTTTATGTACAAAAATTGTTGGCACCAAATGTCAAGGTATTAGAATCAATGAATACAATGTGTGAATACAATGCTGTGTATAAAACTTGTACAGGTATTTATATATATATATATATATAATTTTAGATAAAATATGGATAAAACCTTAACAAAATTCTGATGAGCTTTTTGTTTTATTTTTGTAAAAAAATGTAATTTATAAAGTATATTGATTAAATACAATTTAGGCTCAGGTTAATCATTCATTAGGTTACACTTACTTTAACATAATTCGGTTCCTTATTTGAAGTAGATTTTTCACATATGTTCAAAATCTTGTATCTTTATTTAATAGAATAATTTTTCTGAAAAAAGTTTTTTTACTAATTAGCAAGTCTATTAAGTGCCAACTGTTTTTAATCCTTTTTATGTCCTATTTAAACAAAATAATAAACAACTTATAATTGGAACTTTATTATTTAGTATGTATAATGAATAACGTTCTTATAAATTGATTTTTTTATTTCTTATTTTTATTATTATTATTTCTTTTAGTTCTTTTATATATTTTTGTTATTATATTCTTATTTAGTTATAATATGTTTGTAATATAGATAGTGTTGGGTTGTATGTAAAATGAATGCCACTATAACTGAAGTTAAGTTTGAATGATTTTGGTGTTCTTGTTTTTTAAAAGTAGTTTTCATTGAATAAAAAAATATTTATCAGTGGTTATTCTAATAAAATATAAAATAAATGTGATATATGACATGACACAATATTTATTACAGATATATATATATATATATATATATATATATATATATATATATATATATATATATATATATATATATATATATATATATATATTTTTATAGTTGAAGACACTGCAACCTCTTCCAACTAGTCTTTTGTAAACAATTTAAAAACTAAAAATTGCATGCATTTTGCATGACATAAAATGTTGTATATGACATGACACAATATTTATTACATATATATATATATATATATATATATATATATATATATATATATATATATATATATATATATATATATATATATATATATATATATATATATATATAAACAGTAAATTTATATTTTTATTTATTAATTTTTTTAGTTTTTAAATTGTTTACAAAAGACCAGTTTGAAGAGGTTGCAGTGTCTCCAACTATTAAAATGATTTTTTCTGGAGCAGTATGTATTTAAAAAATGATTGTAAAATTTATAATTATCTGTTAGTAAGCAACCGGGATTGATACTTGACCACGGCCAGGGCTAGAATTGATAAAATGTAGCCGGAGCACGGTTGTGACTAGGGCTAGGCTTGTGATGGGGGTTGCATAAACTTTTATACATCCTAAAGTTTTTTTTTTTTTTTTTTTTTTTCAAAATTCATGTTATATTTTGTATATATATGCATATGTAAACATCATTACGATTAACATGATCATCATAATCATAAGTCCCATCATCATCATCTGATCATCTTCCTAATCAGCAAATACTACATCATATAATTACTAAAGTTTATATAAATATGAAAGGATTTTGTGTGCCATGATCTAAGTAGTTAGCAAACATATATGTTTATATCCATAATATGTATGATACTGGAAGCTTTTGTTCCTTCTGAAATTTTTTTCCTGGAACGTTTTACACCATCTTGAGCAGTTGCTTTATTAAACCGTAATAATTTTTTTTACAATAACATCTCTTTCTTAAGAAAAAATGTCTTATTATTGTTCTAAGAAGCCAATGTTAAAAAATCTTGTCTGATATTAAACTCTGTTACTCTCTAAATCTTTTCTCAGATGTTGGGTTCTTGAGACTTTTAGTTAGTCTTCAACTTTACAATTTCATTACCTTTACATTAACATTAAAGTAAGTCTAACATTTAATCTCTAATTCATGGGTCTGGTCTTCTTCACCACAGAATAAAGCAGAGTTTGCAACAAATCTTACTCTTATTTGACTCTTGAATCTTATGGCCATACTATTCCTGCCATTTCAACAGATGAACCCATTGTTAAACATTGAAATCACTCGGGTCCAGTGCTAACTTTAATTCTCATATAAACGCTTCTACAGTTTGTGCTACAGACAAGATTTCCATCATAGTCTTAAAAAAGTTTTCTCTAGAACTCTCTTCAATTTTTGCTAAACTTTTTAAAAGTGCTAAACAAGTGGTTCCAATTTTTCAAAACTCTAGAAAACACTCTGACCTCTCTAATTTTCCTATGATTAGTCTTCACTATGTTATTAGTTTATTTATATAAAGGTTTTGAATTTATTAACTTCAAACTGAAGTATTAAAGTTATTCTACACTCTTCTATATTTCAATTAACTTTAAGGGTACCAAAATTTTACATCTAAAGTGGCTCTATTTGCTTACAACTCAACTTTATACTCTTGTTTTGACAAAAAAAAACTTTCACGTTTTGATTGCTTAGAATAAGCAGCAGGTTTTTAATCTGATTTCTCTTCTGTAACATCCTTTTGCTATAAGGCAATTAGATTTACATTCTTGACTTAAAATTCCAATTTTTGTTAGACAACAAAACTCATTTACTGCAAAAAAAAATTGCAATAATATTGGCATTATGTTGATGAATATATATACCTGCCACTATATTGATGAATAACAATCCTCTTACTCTCAGACAAAGTCTAATAGTAAATTGTAAATGTAAGTAGACCTGTTTTTTCTGCCAAGCTTGAGCCACTCTCCCATTGTTGTAAGATTGCATTTCTTTCTTTTTTCTGCAAATACTATCATGGTCAATGCTCAAATAAGCTATCATCTCTATTACTATAAACCAAAACTCATTCTTGCTTGGCTTCTTATTCAATAAGTTACATCTTTTTACTGTATTTGTCCTTTCATGCTATAAAAACTTTTATTAATCCAGTTTTTTTCCTTGCATATAAAAAACAACTTATAACTCTTACCCATCTTCATGTTTTCCTTTTTTATACAACCTACAACTTTTTAAATATTCAGTTAACCGTTTTCTAGTATTTTAACTTATTATTTATTCTAAAGTAACTCATAACTTAATAGTGGTTGCCTGCAATCTTGTTGGAAGTAAATTAGAGTTTAAAAATATATAAATATATGCCAGTGTTTAATGAATAATAAATGTAAGCATAAAATTATAATATGTTTTTTTAGGTCCAGCTATAAACCCCTGGTAAACCTTATAATTTTGCCAGAACCAGGTATGCAAAAAGTTTCATTTTTAGAAGGGACAGGGCTGAAGCCCTAGTCACTTACTATATCTGTTAACAGTTTTCAAATTCCACTTTTTTGTACATATTTTTGTTACACACTCTCATTATTATGATGTTATTTTCTTTTTAATTACACAGTTTCACACACAACATTTACAAAGCTAGTGGTTCTATAAAAAATTAAGGAAAGAATAAATTTTAGAGTTGTCATCGGCTTAAAAGGTCTGAATTACTATTTTTAACTTTTTAAAAAATATGTCTAATTTTGAGTTGTAAATTTGTTATCAAAAGATCAATTAAATTGTTTATATTTGGCATTGGGATCAAATTTCCGAAAATCTAAGAAGCAATTAAATTGATTCTGTAATATATATATATATATATATATATATATATATATATATATATATATATATATATATATATATATATATATATATATATATATATATATATATATATTATATATATATATATATATATATATATATATATATATATATATATATATATATATATATATATATATATATATATATATATATATATATATATATATATATATATATATAAATTCATAGAAAATGACTCATCAAAAAATTTTTTGTATTCAATACTGTGTTTCATCAGAAATAATAATAATAATCAAATTAATAAAACTTCAATTTATGCCAAAAATTAAATTACAGGAAATCGCAAATGTCTTAACTACTGCAAATTTTCACACATTTGTGGAATATGTTGACACTATTATAAAAAGAACTATTTAGAATTAATTACTTCTGCTTTTTTAAAAAATAATTTTTAAAAGGGGCGGATTTAATGTAACAATTACTTGAGCTCACTTATTTTTATAGTGTTTTAGGAGAAACTTATTTTCGTACCTGCATTTAGAAATTAATTCCGATTTTTTTTTTTAAATAAAATTCTTAGTTTGCACGTGTAATAATTTTAAATTTTTCTTGTAGGCATAGTATGCAATTTTTGGAAATATTATTAAATGCAGGTGCTGTACCAATTCAGTATAAAATCATCAATATTTTGATGATTTTTTACTGAATTCAGTATAAAATCATTGTATATATTTTGACAGCATGGTGTTTTTTGAATACTTTTCATTTTTAAAGGATTGAAAAAATGTTTTTTTCCATTCACACCAATATTTTGTTTATCATGAACATTCTTAGAGGAAAATATTTTGCAAATCATAAGCAATCATTTAAAAATAAAAAGTATTCAAAGACACCAAATATATATGGGAATTAAAAGATAAAAATATCAACGATTTTATACTGAATTGATTGTTGTCTAAATTGAAAACCCTTAAAGAACCTGTATCTAATAGCAATTGCTATAAGGTGACATGTTTTGTTTGTGAAAATTAGGTTTTTTATTACGTTATAGTTTTAGTTTTATAATTAATTTTACTAGTTTTTAAAGACGAAATAAAAAAAGCAATGCTGTTTTCAAGACCTGTTCTGATAAAATTCAGAGAGTTCAGATCTGAGCTCAAATGAATTTTCTTCTGAATCTTTGGCTGAAGATGATTTGTTAAAAAATAATTTTAACAGAGCAATTCATAATGACAATAGTTTTCTGTGTAGTGATTCAGACGATGAAAACCAAGACTGGCTAAGTTTACAATATTTAGATAAAAGACTCCCTAAATGGAGTAATAGTTTTGATGCTAGAAGTAGAAAAAATAATCAGTTCAATGTTGCAGATGCAAAAAATGAAAAAGATGGTTCTGGTTCTGTTGAGTTAAATGTTGACTTTGATGATGGTAAAGACAAGTTTTATATGACTTCATCTGAAGAAGATAAGTAAATAGATGAATTTCTGATATGGCTGCAAAGCATTGAGGGTGGTATCAAACCACTTTGCACTGCCTTGAAACATAAAATGTTGTTTTAGGAGCTGTATGCCATGCAGCAAATGACAATGTAAATTGCAAGCATCTTGGATGTATTTTTTTTTTCTTGGATGTTAAAGATGCAAAAAGATGAAAAGCAGCCAGGAACAAGAAAAACATATTTATTTTCTCTACAACTTGTATTAAACTTTTTTATTTCTAAAGAAAAACTTGAAATTATTTCTAATGAAGAATGTTCAAAGTTAAAAATCTCTATAAAGTGAAAGCATAGTTTGTGAAAAGATATTTAGAAAAGACAGCATGAAAAAGACATGTATGATTTCCACAACTTCCTCTCTTCTGAATAAATAAATACATTAGACAAATCTGACTACGTTAAAAGTGCAAAAGATGCTAATAAAGCTTCTAAGTTTTCTAATTTTATTATTACAAAGTCCAATTATTTTTGGTCAGGTCTTATTTGCTTGCATACACCTTTCATAATAATGTCACAAGACCAGAAGCTTCAGCCAATATGACTTTTGGTGAGTTTTGTTAAGCATTTTATAAAAAAAATTGTTACACAGTCATTATTAAAAATTTAAAACATCGTATAAAAGCTAGTATTTCGAAAAAAACTCAATGGAATTTCTCATCCACAGGTAATGGAATTATGTTTTTAAGTTATAATGGACTCATTGATGATCACTACCCAGTTTCATTTATTTTGGAATCGTGCTTTAGGCAAAAAAGTAAAAGAAGTTTTAACTAGAATGACACCAATATTAGTAAGGAAATTTACAACAAAAATATATCAAAGTTTTCCCTGTTTGTAGCAAAATGTTGCACATCATTTATGTCACAGTTTGAAGTGGCTTAGAGCTAATATGCCTTATTTGACAAATGTAATGCCGTATCAAGCACAATTAATCAACTGTTTAATTAAAAGATCATTAACAGATCAGCAGAAAAAAACATGCATTTGTTTGAACCTGAAATAAACAAGGGTTCTATAAAAGTAGTTGATGTAAAAAAAAGTTGTCAAGTTATTCAGAAGTTGTATGTGATGAAAAGGTTAAAAAAGTAGTTGATAAAGTTTGATATGCAATCTAAGCAGTTGTCAGGAACAGAACCTAATATTGACTATATTGATTTTTTAAATGAAGTTTCTTGTACATTAAGCTCCCCTATTTCACAAGAAATTCGAAAAAAAGAAGGTTACGTTACTAAAAGAAGTGACAATATTGAAAGTTTGATTGACGCTGCTAAGGAAGTTGATGTATTTAAATCTGAAGATTTTAACCTAGATGACTATATTCCGTCATCTCCAGATAATGCATGATAACAGATCTTTCAAAAGAAGCCGAAAAGAATTTACTGAAGAAGATAGAAAGCCTATTTATTTGCATTTATCTAACGTAATACATTCAAATGAACCAATAAAACAAATTTGTATTATCGTTAAAGAAAGCAGAATTAGCGGGTCTTGTAAAAAAGTTTGATTTGCTATCGATAAAAATGAGAAGAAACAATATAAACATTTTGTAAATAGTCTTTTTACTATTTAGGTGTCTTCAAATAAAAATGTTTTTACTGGATTTTTTTTAAGTATGAAAAATTTAATAGTTTTGATTTGTGGGGCAGAAGATGAAAGTAGTTTGTTCATTTCTGCATTTATTATGTTTGCAAATAACACGTTGTGTTATTTGCAAACATAATAAATGTTTTTTTGTACAAAAATGTTTAGTTGTACAAAAATGTTTTTTTGTACAAAAATGAATAGTTATATACAAAAAACTTTTTTAAATTTAGGCAATTACTTGACATAAGCCTCTTTTATCATTAAGGAACTATTATACTACACAGGAGAAAGCAGTATTTTTTTTTTTTTTTATTTTTATTCACCTCCTCAAGGCCGAGAAGGCCACTACAGATGAGGAGGCTACTTATTTGTGGTTATAACCCTCTCTCAACTCTATAACTCCGAAACACGAACCTTGACGAACAAGGCCGCTGCGCGGAGAAACGAGTTGAGCGCGGTACTACCAGGGACGTGGTGGGGATTGAACTCGGAACCACTCGTTTATGAAGCGAGCGCTCTACCACTACACCACTGCCGCATTTATTTATATTTATTATAGTATTTGTGAATCAGGTGCTATATATGTGACTTTTTTAATTCAGGTACTATGCATGTAAGATTTTTCTTTTAAAGTTCTGTTTTGATATTTTTTATAAACTTTTTAATTAGATAACGTTTAATACAAAAGTTGCATTCATATCTAAAAACAGGTAACGTGACACCAGGTTTTTAAACAGGTGAGTTTTATCGCATTTATTTCAATTTTATTTTATTAATGATTGTTTTATTTAACTAATTTTTGTTTCGTAAATACCTAATATTTACCATTCAAATTTAAATATTTTTTGTAAATAAAACATTAAATCATCGGATTTAGTTGATGAACCTATTGAACCTCGGATTTAGTTGATGAACCTATTGTCTACTGTTGAAACATGATTTGATTCAGTAAATTTTTATTATTTGAATTTTACTGTATTAATCATTAGTCAACAGTTAGCGAGAAACTGGTGCTCTACGTAATTGAGGTAAAATTAATTTTGTTCACTGGTAACATTTCAAAACAGTTTTTGTGGTTTATTGTTTTATATCTATATTGTGCTACTATATTGTTTTAATGATAGATTAATTGATGAACATTTCAATCGTCACCGAAAATTGAATTTTCCTGTTTGTTGCAGGTAGGTTTATAAAATTTATGTTTATAAAATTTTAGATAAGCAAAATTTAATTTTTTTATCTTGGTATTGCGATAATACTTTTTTTGCTTTTCATTGAAATTAACTGTTTATAAATTATTCCTAGGCTTGTTTTCCTTTAATTAGGAGTATGGTAGACTTAAAGAAGCAGTTCATATCTAAACGACACAAACTGTCAAAAGCAAGAGAAATAAAGAAAAAAACAGTTTTATAGCGACAGAACTTATTTTAATTGAATAAATGTTCAAAACTTTAGTTTAGAAAATATATTTTTTATGCATAATGTTGTACAAAGTTGTTTTGAGTCAAAGTTGTTTTGAGACCTTTATCGGTATTGAAGCAAATAACAATTTAAAAATGCCCTAAATCTGAAAGATCTGAAACAGAATAAATCGTACACAGTACGTCACAATAAATTACAAAATTAAGATAATTCATCTGTACTATATTGTATATACTGTTATAGTATTATAATAATCTGTAGTATATTGTATATACTGTTATAGTATTATAATAATAGCTATATTTACCTTTCCTACGTTTAGCTGCATTAAGCAAAATAAATTACAAAGAAAAAATCATTTTTTTTTTAAATTCGTCTTTCATGCATATTTATCTGCATTAAAAATTAACCGAGTCGCTTGTTTCTTCTTTTTTTTTTAATGAGGACGAGTGACTACTTGCCCAAGCTATAGCACACTTCATGAATAACGCAGTTACAAGTTGTTAAAGCTTTTATATTTTATAAGGAACTAAAATAAATGTTTTGAGACAACCGGAAACTAAAAGAAAAAACTTGAAGAAAATGGAGATTGAATTAACTACGAGGTAACTGACTCATTTGCGCTTGCTTCAAGCAAACATCTTAGTAGGGCACTACTAAGATGTTTGCTTTCAACAACGTAGTAAGGCACTTTTTAAGGCGGTTTTTAAGTCGACAAATAAATAGGTACTTAAATTTACATATCTGTGCACTTATGGGGCTTTACTGGCCAAAGAGACAGTTGTGATTAATCTCAACTTAAAAGTTATTTCTATCAGAACTGAATAAGTCAAACATGCAGTTGAAAATGTAATGTAGTTATCACTGATAACTATATAATTAAAAAGCTATAAATCGAGATTGATATATTGTGATAAAAAAAGAAAAAAGCACCTTTACAACTCAAAACTAATCTCAGAGTTCTACTGCTTAAGAAAGGTAATGAATTACTTAAATAAAAAATTTTCGGAGAAAACTCAAACAAACAAAAAAAAGGTCAATCATGTTCAACATACAGAATTGTCCTCATCCTACTCAATATCTAATTTTTTGAAGCAATATGCAAACCAATTCGGCTCTACGGCTGTAAAAGTTATATTCTCATGTAAATACTTTTAAACTTAAGCACTTAGTAGCATTTTAAGGCACAGCTACAGTTAATCCTAATCTAATCCTAAGAATTAAATTGACCTGGTCAGCATTCAGTTAATATTTTATATAGTAAAATTCAATCGGTTTAAACTTCATATTCAGCAACTGTGTTTTGTAAGATATTGCATTATAAGAGACTCAAACAATTTTATTACCCAATACATACTGTTGGACTGTGGAGAAAAACAAGTTGGAGCAAAGTTGTAAAGTAAACTGAAAACAATATATCTCCAATAAAATCTGCAAACTTATCAATAGTTAAGCGCCACAAAGAACAAACAAGATCCGAAATGTCGCAAAGCTCAGACATGCTTGATCTAGCACGGAAAACATTTTAAAAAATTTGATTACTGCAAACCCACCCTGTTTGCAGCCGTTGATAAGGGTAATGATGATTGGCCATGGAGCATCAGCAATTTTAAATCATTTCGTTTATTGACTTATTTTAAAAAAACTAAATAGGGTCGAATAACTTAAAAGACACTTTTTAGTTAAAATGATATTATTTTTAACTATATATAATTGTTTGATGTTCACAAAACAGTCACTTTACACTTAAAAATAAAAAAATTTCAAGTTTTTTCATTTATAAGCTACACAAAAAATGTGCGCCCCCATGCCACTTAAACTCAGAAATTTAGGTAAATAGTTATGTTATGTATAATTCAATAATAACAAAAAAGGTTTTTTAATTTATTTAGTAAAATAGTAGACCTGGAAAACTTTATTAGAAAATTGAACTACTTGCGCATGTAAATGCGGAAACAAAAAGGACATCAATTTCTCGGTTTGTTCATTCGCCACTGAAAAGTTTTCACCCCGATTAAACAGTTTTCACTGAAAACTGTTTAATCGGGGTGACTGTTTTAATCGACAAACAGATGTAACTGTTTTAATCGATTAAACAGTTTTCACTGAAAAGTTTTCAACCCGATTAAACACATTTCAGTAACATCACTCAAGTAAATACGCGGAAAAAAAAATTACGAGTAGTAGAAAAAAATTATGAGAGGAAAATATAAAAACTGGTGGAACTATGGTACTTTTAGGGGGAATTTACTAGGTTTTCAGAAACAATTATTGTTTGTTAGCGATATTAATTCATGTCGAGGGGAATCATGTTTAGCCCCCATGCTACGCAAGTAGAAGAAACATGTTAGAAAAGTGTTATTTTTATAAGCGGTACAAATCTTCCAGGTAAAAAAAAATATTTGAAATAAAAATAATATTTATTTTGAAGCATTTTTAAAAAAAATTGTTTAAAACATCGTTTTTACGCACCTCTTGCCTCTAATTCAAATTTCGCAACGCGAGGGCACATCGGCAACGGTTATAGTAGTAGTAGTAGTAGTAGTAGTAGTAGTAGTAGTAGTAGTAGTAGTAGTAGTAGTAGTAGTAGTAGTTGTTGTTGTATATTTTAAAAGAATTATTAAACCACGAAGGTACAAACTAAATGTTATTTATATCAAAAAAAATTTTAACACTGTTCTTTTTTAACAAAGTTTCCATTTATTATTAAGATAAACATGTTGTGTAGAGAATGCGCCTTGATTTAGAAGACATTTTGGAAAAGATTCGCTTTTGAAGAAAAGCTAAAATAATAACAACTCTATGTTATATGACGAGAAAATCCTTGCACAATAATTAAATAAAAATAGCAACCTACAGAAATCAAACTATTTGGAGGGTGCTCAAGATGACTTCCATTTAATGCACCATAAGTTGCAAATCCAAAAGCATCCAGCTGGTTACCGTTATACAAAAGAAACACTGGAAAGAAATCGTTACAATCCATATCCTTACTGATTCCATACCAATAGTGTTGACCTAATTTATCAAAAAACTAATTAATTTTTTAAAGCAAACCACATAATTTAATAAAGAAATAAGACTTATCATATGTTAATTTAATAGTTTGATTAAAAGCATCAGACGTACCCATTCCTAAAAAGCACTTTCCACTGACCCATTTTGTACCTAATAGGTCTTTTTCGTGCAAAGGTATTTCCATACTTTGGTTTTTACCATTAAATATTACTAGTTTGTCTCCTACAGATTTTTTATCTCTTTTATTATCTATTCTACACATTTTGGAAATGTCAGTAAAATATGCTGTGATGTAATATATGTTTCCAATTTGAAAATATGCTTTGCCAATCCATTTATTCGCAACTTTTGTTTCTTTTGGAATCTAAACATTTTATTAGATTTATAATGTTATTATCATAAAACTTATTTTGAATACTCTTTAGTAAATATTGCTGTAACTTTGAATAAAATATTATGACCATACAAAATTTGTACCAGCCTCAAATTAAGGGGGTTTAAACTTTATACAGTCATGTTTTTTGAATGCTTAGAGATTATACTAAGAAATTTAAAATTTATCAATGAATATATCTTTAGTTAAGAACTGTAAAAAAAATTATTTAAGGTCTTTTTTTCCCCAAGCTCCAATCATCACAATTTTATGGAAAGTATCCTTATTTGATATAAGTATAAACATATAAGTTGTAGACGAAATAAATTCTATTTTATAGACATCAGTTTTAACGTTATGATATTTCTCGATATCATAAAGTAAAAACAGGCGTAATTAAAGTAGAATTTTTTTTCAAATGAAGTTTAAGAAAAAGTGACCAACTTTGAACAATGACCCAAAGTACAAAAATTTACTGTATATCATATACAGTAAATTTTCAAAAAACGTTACTACGCAAATATAACTCTTAATTAGGTTAAAAAGCCTATTTTTACATATTTAAACTTAATATTTTAATATTGAAATGCTTTATATAAATAATTTTGTTATTTGTAACTTAATGCATTAAATTATTTATTTATTTATTTATTTATTTATGAGGAAAGTTGCATATTAAAAGAATATAAAATTATCTAATTAAAAAAAAAATCCCAAACCTAAACTTGACCTTGACTATGCAAACCCCAGACCCATATATCATAATCGAAGCATATGCGCTTCTTTACCGTACCCTTGATGTTACTCATTTAGTAACAACAAAGGTACGGTAAATTGAGTAATACTCAATTTATGTTTTGTATAAAATAGAGTTCGGACTGTTGTATTTGTAATGAAAACAATAACAGAAACAATAACTATTGTTATTGTATTAATTTTTTAGAAACAATAACAATACCAATAATAATACAGTATTAAAATAATTGTAAAATATGCTTTACAATTATTTTAATACTGTAATACAATAACAATAAATATTGTAATGCAATTCATCTACATAATAACAATAACAATATCTAAAAAAATAAAAAGTATTGTAATGAGCCACAACAATAACAGTAAATTTTGTAATGTAATTCATCTTTATAATACAATTACAATTTATCGTTATTGTAATAAAAAAAAATTATTGTAATGTCAAAATTTATTAATGTTTTAACAGTCCAGTTTCTGAGATATGTGACCTTGAAATAGGGTACAATTAATATATAATTATTGATTCTATTTCTATTTTATTTACTGAATATCACTTGTCCTCGTCGCAAACTTTATACAGCTCTATAAAAGTGAGTATGATCTGACTTGTACATCTTTTACTGCCGGTGATAAACATAATCAGTTACTACCATTTCTTCCACTTAGTTGTTTGCTTTTACATTAGGCATCTATCCAATTGTTTTGAAACTTTTTTAACTAACACTTACTCTAATACAATTTTGTCTTTTGTTTCCCTGAGGCTTTTATGGCCGTATGTAATTCATACTATGCAACTAGATTCAAAAGTCCAGCTACTTATGTGTTTCATAAGTAACTGAACTTTTTTATCTAATTGAAAAGTTATACAAAAATTTTATTTCATAAATCAAAAACAATATTTATTTGGAATTTTATATTTGGTGATGAGTGATATGAAAATGTAGAAAATTTATTTGCAACACAAAAGTAGTTTACATTTTTAGACAATCTAATCAATAATTACCCAGGTCAATGGTTCTCTGATATCATGATGCTGTAATTTATTACTCATTAACGGTTAATTATGTTGAAAAAAAAGTTCTTTTATGTAGTTAATCAATTAGTTTAGACTTCATATCCGGTGAAACATTTCAATATCAGTTTAGAAAAAATTACAAAAAAATCAAAAATTTCACTTTACAAAGTAAATAATTATTTAATTACAAGCATATGATAAATCAGGCGCGGATGCGACATTTTTTAATGATTGAGATACCTAACTTCCAGACATGGAGCAAACTCCAAAAATTTACATGTTTATACTTATATCAAATAAGGATGCTTTGCAAAAAATTGCAGTGGTTGTAGCCTGCAAACAAAAAAGCCCTAAAATTTTAGCCACACCTGCCCCAGACGTGAGAGCAACAAGTTGATACAATAATTTTTTTTCTAATATCAACCAAGTATATATTCATCGATAAATTTTAAAACTTACGCAATAGTCTATTAGCGTTCAATAATTATGGCCTTATAAAATTTGCTACCCCTTCAAATTGAGGGGGTTAAAACTTTTTAGAGACATTTTTTGAACGCTAAAAGATTTTTGTGTAAATCTAAAAATTTGTCGATAAATATAGATTTAGTTAAGTATAATATACAAACTATTTTATCAACTTGTTGCTCTCACGTTTAGGGCAGGTGCAGCTAAAATTTTAAGGCTTTTTTGTTCCCAGGCTCCAATCATTGCAATTTTTTGCAAAGCATCCTTATTTGATATAAGTATAAATATGTAAATTTTTGGAGTTTGCTCCATATTTGGAAGTTAGGTATTGTAAACATCAGAAAAAAGCTGCATTCGTGCCTGTAAATTATATATTTGTATGATTTTGAATGAATATTATTAATGCTAATTCTAAATAATTTATTCTTGAAACAGTTATATTACTGAACTCAAATAGAATAAAATTTATATATATAAATGGTTGCTAAAAACGAGAGCCACAAGCGCCCCTAATCGTAATATTTATTATAAATACGTAATATTTATACTTGTTTGTTAACTATTGTGGTGTATTACTATTTTAAAGTCCAATAGCTATTGTATTTCAGAGGTGCCCGTTTTTATATAAATAATGCCTTTTTTTGTATAAATGACGCTCATTTTTAGCAGTCATTTATAGGGTAAGGTTGGGTATGCCGAGTATGTTCACAGTCTATTGTTTTTTAAGTCGAAATATTATAATATTTAATACTGATTATCATATTTGAATCTTTCCTATTAAAGAATATAAATGAATAGTTCATTAATAAAAAAATCTTTATACCAAAAACTGCATTCTTTTCAACACACCCAATCATCTTATCTTAGAAAACCTGTTTCTTGAGATAAGATTTTTTTAAAACTAAAAAAAACTCAAAACACTAACCTGGCTTCACTTTGCTTCTCAAAATAAATTATATATAGGGGAAGGTTGCGTAAGATGAGTAGGCTCCTAAGATGGTATAACATCTTTTACGGGTAGACTAATAATTTTTTTGCGAACTTTTTTGATTAAGGATATTCATACAAGTTCGACGGTGTTATTTATTTTAATTTCTTGGTTGTATAGTTAATAATCTTTGATTGTTTTTTTGTTAAATAATCTACCATCCCCGTTAAAATTTTTAACTAATGGTTTGAGATAATTAGTTTTTACTTAAGTATAGTCCTTAAAGATACAATTTTTTTTTTTTTTGTGTGATTATTTTTTTGTTATTTTGAGTTTTTTTTAGTTTTAAAAAAATCTTATCTCAAGAAACAGGTTTTCTAAGATAAGATGATTGGGTGTGTTGAAAAGAACGCAGTTTTTGGTATAAAGATTTTTTTATTAATGAACTATTCATTTATATTCTTTAATAGGAAAGATTCAAATATGATAATCAGTATTAAATATTATAATATTTCGACTTAAAAAACAATAGACTGTGAACATACTCGGCATACCCAACCTTACCCTATAAATGACTGCTAAAAATGAGCGTCATTTATACAAAAAAAGGCATTATTTATATAAAAACGGGCACCTCTGAAATACAATAGCTATTGGACTTTAAAATAGTAATACACCACAATAGTTATTGTAAATTGTTTTACATCACAGCAATCCGATACAATAGTTTTAGAACTTCAATGTATTGTTAGAACAAAAACAATACAATAGTTATTGTAACTATTTTTAACCACAGCAATACAATAACAATAAATCCGATAACTTGCCTCATCAACTTCCTCAGCTAATGATAAACAACTTTATAGTAAAAAGATTCGTATCAATGAAAGTCTTAGGAGTAATATTTGATGAACATCTTAATTGGAAAAATCATGTTATGCTCATTGAAAACAAAATTTCTAAAACAATAGGCATTATGCATAAAATAAAACCTCTACTAAGTAAAAAATGTTTAAATATATATATTACTCATTCATCCACAGTTACATTAGCTATTGTAATATTGCTTGGGCAAGTACTCGCGCTTCAGCATTAAAAAATATATTTATCAAACAAAAACAAGCATATAGAATTGTAATGTAGATCATATAGAATATGTAATGTGCATATAGATCATGTAGATAGATCATGTGTGCAGATAGATCATGTAGAATATGTAATGTGCATAAATACACACACGCTAAGCCGTTATTCCAAGAAATAAAAGCATTTAATGTCTATGAGTTAAATCTCTTCTAAAGTTTATTATTTATGTTTAAATATCAAAATGACATGCTACCAAACTTTTTTAATAACCACTTTTCAAAAAATAACCATAAATACTTAACCAGATGCTCCGCTTACAACTTTATTTTACCTAAGTCTAATCTTAATCAATATGAAATTGAATAATATTAAAACAGATTCAATTTCATATCGAGGATATCGAGGATATCGAGGATATCGAGGATATCGAGGATATCGAGGATATCGAGGACCTTTTTTATGGAATACAGTTCTTGATGAAAATATGAAAAGTAAAACCTTAATAAATTCTTTTAAAAATGTTGTTAAAATGTATTTGCTTGACTTGCCAGACACAAACATATTTTTGTATTTTTAACAGAAAAATAAAAATTACATAAAAAAAAAATTCTTATATTATTTTTGCGATTTTCTTTTATTAATTCTTAAACTATAAAATCTTGTTTTATTAAAGTTCTTTTATTTTTTATTTTTTAAATCTATTTATGCTGTTGTAGTTATTTTATATTGTTTTATAATATGAGAATATATATATTTATATAAAGTGAACTTGTTAAAGAAAAAAAAAACAAACACTTCACGTTTACTATAGGGGCTTGATGATAAGACTACTGTCTTCTACTTGCTCCTGTCATTTTTTTAATTATATACATATATATATATATATATATATATATATATATATATATATATATATATATATATATATATATATATATATATATATATATATATATATATATATATATATATATATATATTAGGGATGCACCGAACGTTTGGCAAAACCGAACGTTCAGTTCGGCCGAACCTTGACAAATGTTCGGCCGAACATTTGCTAAAAATGCTAATTTAGAAATTAATATCATCAAATCATCATAACTCAGCCTAAATAGCTACAGTACCAATAGATATGGGTTTTTATTGAAAACCTGATTCTTATCTACAACGCATAGTAGGTAAGAATATGTTTTTCAATAGAACACATGAGTACGTTAGATTTACATCAAGTTTTAAGCATGTATTATTTAAAACCGAATGTATTACGTAAAACTAGTTTACATCATTTAGAAAAAATAGTACTAGTTTAAGTGTAAAATGAAAAATCCTTTTAATTGAGCAATATTTTAGTTAATTTTATATACAATAATAATAATAACTAAACTTAACTTAAGTTATAAAATTCATGCAAGAAGCAAATTTTTTATTTTGGAAAAATCGCAAAATTGTGATAATATAAAAAAAACTTTATAAAGAAAATTGCTCGTAATTTGGCTACTCAACTAGTTATACAAAGAAAATTATTTTAAAGGAATAAACTTAGGGGAAAATGTTATTGTGGTGATCAAAAACATAAAAATGCTCCAATTTGTTATGTAGTTATTACTATATATCTATATAATATATACTATTATGTTATTATTATATAACTAAACATGCAATAGTATTAATACTAGACAAATCAACAATTTTAAACTTTCACCTAACAATAATCGATTATTAAAAAAATAAAACATTAAAAACATGAGTGAAAATCAATTTTTATTTGTTGTCCTCAAGTTATAATGAATAAACATTAATTTTTCGCCACTTTCTGGTGATAGTCTGTTTCTATTGGGTTCGTAAATGATGCCACCTGTACTAAAAAGCCTTTCACTTTCAACAGAAGATGGTGGAGCTGAAAGAAACTTTTAGGTAATTTTCTTTAAATTTTTAAAAGAGTTTCCACAATTTTTCCACCACAAGAGAAGACTTTCACAAGAGAAGACCTTGACAAGAGGAAGCTTTAAATACTCTTCAATCTCCTTGTTTATCGTTTGTATATTAGAATTTAATCTTTTTAACCTTTTGCTATTTTCAGTATTTACAAAATTGGAATCACATTCATCTATAGTTATCAGTTTAGAAATTTTTTGAAAACATTCATTGATTTTCGGATAAGCTGGTTTTTCAATTACTTCATTTGTGTTATGTACTGAAGGTTCGTCAAAATCAGAGGATTCAAGTTCTAAATTACTTTGTTGCATTTCTTGCATCTGTTCATTTATCCAATTTTTTATTTTATCCTTATTATCCTTTTGATATGTCAATTTATATCTAGGGTCACAAAAAGTGGAAAGACAAATATTTATCATGTAAATATGGATCCAATTTTTTGTCTACTGACCCACTTAAATGTTCAACTAAAGTATTTATTGTTAAAAAAGCCTCACATACTAATGCTTGATTGAAAAATTCTTTCAGAGCCATAACTGAAGGAATAACATCAAATATGATTCACGTTTACTGAAATTAATAGTTAAAGTTTTAAATGGTTCTAAAATATGCAACACTTTATCTAATAAGTCCCATTGAAATGAATTTAGTGTTGATTGGGTAGGATGATCTGCTGTATAAGTTGTCAAAGGAACTTTTTGATCAAGCATCCTTTCAATCATATCATAAGAACTGTTCCATCTTGTAGTAATATCTTGGATTAACCTGTGCTTATTTGTACCAAGTTGTTCCTGAATTGCTTCTAATTTTGCTGCTGCTGTTGAGGAATGGTGAAAATGAGTTGCCAGACGTCTGCAACAAGCTAAAATATCCTTAACAGATTTTTGCGACAGAATTGAGTCATGTATACATAACTGTATTGTATGTATAAAACATGGTATTGATCTAAAACCGCTGTCTCTTACACCAGCTACCATATTGGCCGCATTATCTCGTAAAACAATATGAATTTTTGAGTGTGGAATTTCAAAACTTACTAAACCTTTATGTAAATACTCACTTATGTTTTTTCCTGTGTGACTTTCTGGAAAATGCATAACTCTGAGTACTGCTTTGTGCTGGGAAAATTCATTACTGAGCCAGTGTGCTGTCATGCTTAGCTTAAGTTATAACATATAAGCTTAAGTGTTATAACATATAAGCTAAGCTTTTAGTATAGTCTACAAATATAAAAGTTAGCTAAATAGCTTAACTTTAAGCCTTAACATTAACAATTAATAATTATTAAAATAAATCCTTAACGTAAAATCTTTTTTAAAGAAGTTTTATTTTTAAATTACAATATAATTTTATTATATTATAATTGTTAATTATTTATATTTATCATTAATAAGTTATACTCATTATTAATGTCATACTCAAATCAAGTCAAATTTCATTTTTCATTTTTCAAATAAAAACATCTTAACATTTTTACTTCTTTACACTGCATTGTAGTGTAGTGACTACAAAGAATCATCTAATAATAAATTTACTTTTGATAGTTATTTAAAGTTTCTTCTCATATTTTCAAAATAAATCTAATGTTTTAAAAAACACATTAAATTTTTAAAAAATATAGTTTTCACTTCGAGTTCAAAATATTTTTGACGTAAAACAATGTTTAGATTTAAAAAAAGCAAAAGTTCGGTATTCGGTTCGGTGTTCGGCCGAACTTTCATGGCCGGAACGTTCGGTGTTCGGCAAAAAGCCGGGTTCGGTGCATCCCTAATATATATATTTTGAAGCTTGTAAATAAGAACGTTGTAAAATGTTTATATATGACAAATAAATAAATAAAAATAAATCTCTGTTATTACAGTACAATATTATTGGATTGTAATGTGTTTATTGTATTTAATTTTTACAATTACAATTACAACAGTCCGAACCTTAGTATAAAATACGATCATAGGCAAACAAAACTTATTGGGGCAATACTGTAAGTCTTTTGTACCATTAATATTCGTTTTTTTTTAAATTTATTACTGAAAGTGAAAAAAAAATTCATTACATAGATGTTTTAAATAAAAACTTACAGCTAATTGAATTCCTCCTATTAAACCATTAACATCAAATATAATTAGCGTATTTGCATCATTGCTTCTTTTGTATACTTGACCTTTAAAGGTTTCTTCATTGTCTTCTTTAACACAAAATATATGCAGATAATAACTTAAGTGAAATGCATAAGGAAAAAAAAATTATGTAGAGATGACCACAAACCTTTACAACCATCATAGTGTAACTCCCAACCATCTTTTAATGCACTATCTTTGTTCATCGGAATAGAATAGCGACTCAAAAACTTTACTGAAAATAGATTATATATACAGAAATATTCTCAATAATTGTTTTGTTTTTATTTGAAATGAAAATTCGAGTTCAACTTCAACATACCTGATAAATGATCCCAGTGTGTAGAATCATCTAAATTTAAATAAAGTAATAATAATTAAAGAAAACTCAACGTCAAGTTAAAATAAAAATAAAAAACTCAAATCAAATTTAAAAAAAAGGGTATTTAAGTTTGTAATGTATATTAGTTTTTCATCACATTTTTTTAATTTTTAATTTTTTTTATTTTATAATTTTTTAACACAAACAGGGCCTTGAATACAAGTAGATTTTATAAAGATCAAAAATGGAAACGAAACTAAAATTAAGTTTTAGTAGAAACTATATTTCTTAGTCAAATTTTTCATTTTGAAAATAAGTTTCTTATGAGACAAATACTATACATTCAGGGTCGATTTTAAGGGTTTGTGTGAGGGGTGACACCCCTCCAAAGAATGCTATTTTCAACTTATAGTCGGTTTTTTAAGGAATATAGTTGCCTAGTCGGTATTTGACACACTTTAGTCGGCAGATTTTTAGTTTTCAAGACCTTTTTATTTTATTTTAAATTAATGTGTTACATAAGGTAACTTGTATAATGCACCTCACCTAAGGAAATGCATCCTCATTTGTTGAAGCTTTTTTAGTGCAGAAGTATCAAACTAAAGGCATTAAACCCACGGACCTGTAAATTTTGAAGTCAGAACACCAATCACGATGCGACGTTACACATGTAGTTGTATTTGTTCGTATTGTAAGTGTAAAATTGCGTATTACTTTAATGGTGCTACTTTATGTGAACTTTAGCATCAAAAAGATATGTTAAAATATATATACATTTCAGCTATGTGGAATAACACTTTTTTTGAAGATTAAAAAAACTTTAGATCACTCATATATTCTTATAGATAAGATTATATTCTTATAGATAAGATTATATTATTATAGATAAGATTTTAAAGTTTTAAAAATGAAAAAGCGCTTGTTTTGTTTTTTATATATTGCAATGTTAAACCTGAATACTAATAAAAGCAGTGGCGGATTATCCATTAGGCTGAGTAGGCTGAAGCCTAGGGGCCCTTCAGCCATAGGGGCCCGGTTCGGAAGATGATTGCAAATTTTTTTTTACAGCAAATATCGATATTGGTATGTATCATGGATAAATTAATGTATCAGAACCAAATGTTATTTTTAAACTAAAAAATCAATTTTGTAGCTCAGTTATGCTGCCCAAATGTTTGTTGATTACTTTGTCTTAGTCAAAATTTTGCTTTATCAGAACCAAATGTTATTTTTAAACTAAAAAATCAATTTTGTAGCCCAGTTATGCTGCCCAAATGTTTGTTTTTTACTCTGTCTTAGTCAAAATTTTGCTTTATCAGAACCAAATGTTATTTTTAAACTAAAAAATCAATTTTGTAGCCCAGTTATGCTGAGAATGGTATTCTTGAACAAATTGACACTACTGACAGCATACATAATTGTAGATATTTTTTGGGATGCTTTATGCATATCGTTAATATAAATTAAGAACAATAATGGACCTAGTATTGAACCCTGAGGAACTCCACACGTAATATTGAGGGCTCCTGACTTTTCTAGTAATACAAATTGCTTTCTGTTAGACAAATAGCTTTGAATCCACTTAAATGTTGAGCCTATTATACCGTAATATTTTAGTTATACCGTTATATATATATATAATAATGCAGTATCTACATTGTATGTTTTTCGATTTCAGGTCATAATGGCATATCATCACAAGTCTGGGTATCAAAAAGCTAAAGACCGTGAAGATAAAAAGAAACGTGAGGAAGCGGTCATTTCAAAAACTGTTAAAATAACTGAGCTTTTTCCTACGATTAGTGTCAATGTCAATAGAGAAGACCCACCATCGAATTCACCTTTACCATGTGTTGGTCAGTGTGGTTTGCCTGGTCAATTTGGTCATGAATTTGAAAGTGATAACAGTGTTGCAGCTGTATGCACTCAATCTATCTCTCACTCTGAATCTGATGATATGGTAGACACGGAGACACTTTCTCAGAAACCAGAAGCACAAGCTGGTTCCAAAGGTGATGACAATTCCTTTTCCACTGACATTGGGCAATGGTCTGAAGTGGAAATCAATGATACATTTTGTAACTTTTGGGTAACTCGTGGCAGTGAATGTTGTCAACATTCAAATGCTGACTTCACTAGTTCAATGCAAATTGATGGAAAACAGAAGCGCTACTGCTCACAGAATCTCTTTTATCGTGTTCATTCTCGCAATGGTGAAAAAGTCCCAAGGTCATGGTTGTGTTATTCACCAGCAACATCTCGCATTTACTGCTTTGTATGTAAATTATTTTCTGCTGATGATAATTCATTCTCAAGGAATGGTTTTTGTGATTGGAAAAATGCAGCTTCACGAATACAGTCACATGAAAACAGCATTGCACATAGAAATGCAACAATCACATTCAGCCAAAGAGTACAAGTCAGTGGATGTGTAGATTCAGCAATAGTTGAGCAATACAGACAGGAATGTGCATATGCAAAATCTGTGCTAGAAAGAGTTGTCTCAGTTATCAAATTCCTTGCTGAAAGAGGGCTCGCATTTAGAGGACATACTGAAATATTGGGGTCAAGTTCTAATGGCAATTTTTTGGGAATTTTGGAGTTGATTGCTCAGTTTGATCCATTCCTCTCCAGTCATATTGACAACCATGGTGGTAAGGGGAAAGGCTCTGTTTCATACCTGTCATCAACAATTTGTGATGAGTTAATTGATGTCATGGGAAAGCAAGTTATGAAAACAATATTGTCTGAAATACGTGGAGCAAAATTTTATTCGATTTCTGTTGACTCTACTCCAGACATATCTCATGTTGATAGGCTGTCATGTGTCTTTCAATATGTTTTGAACGATGGCCCTATAGAAAGGTTTGTGCAATTTTTAAGCATGAAAGGACATGGGGCAGAAGATTTGTTTAACAGTTTATACAGCTTTCTGGAAGAAGCAAAGTTGGATATAAAATATTGCCGAGGTCAGTCCTACGATAATGCTAGCAAAATGGCAGGAAAATATTCAGGGTTACAGGCACGCATTCGAGAGAAGAACCCATTGGCTGAATATGTGCCATGTTTTGCACACTCCCTTAATTTAGTCGGTGCATCAGCTGTAAACTGCGTGACAACAGTGAGTGGATTTTTTGATTTTGTACAAAACTTGTATGTCTTTTTAAATGCATCAACCCAACGGTGAGAGCTTCTAACCAAAGGATTGGATAGTAACCAGTTAGTTCTAAAACGCCTTTCTAATACTCGATGGTCAGCACATTCTGCAGCAACTAAAGCATTGAGCAAAGGCTTTAAAAATGTTAAGACAGTGTTAGAGAACATTGCTGAGGACCCCGAGGAGAAGGTTGAAGCTCGCACTACAGCTGCAGGAATTGCAAAGAAGATGGATCAGTTAGAATATGGAATTTTATTAGAACTCTGGACACCCATATTAGATTGCTTTCATAAGACCAGTTTAAAACTGCAAAGTCCACAACTTGATCTAAATGAGGCTGTTCAACTGTTAACTTCACTAAAAGAATATGTAAATTCACTTCGAGCACAGTTTGATTTCTTTGAGAAGAAAGGAAAGGAAATAACAGGGTCAACTTCTTATAAAGAAGAGAATCAGAGGAAACGAAAGCGAAGTGTTCAATTAACCCGTCATGATGGATCAGCTGATGAAACAGTGTTTTCGGCACAGCAGAAATTTCGAGCCATGGTTTTCTTGCCAGTACTTGATCACTTGAATTCAGCATTATGTAAACGATCAGAGGCATACAGTGATGTATGTGATAATCTGCGAAGTGCTTTGGGTGATGACAAACTGAATTCCCTTACTGTTATGTGTACTGAATCTGACATCCTAAGAAGCTGTGACTTTAATGAAATTTTATCAGACTTTGTTGAACGAAAATGCAGAAAAATGAATTTTTGATCGTGTTGTTTTTTACTTTGGGTCAGCCATTTATAAAATATATACTAGTATCTAATATACCTGATAATTTGTTTGTAATTTTGAAATAAAATTAGATTTTATTATAGATATTATTATTATAAATAAAATTAAAATTGTACTTTTTGACGTATTTTTTAGAAAAATATAGGTATATTGGGCCCATGAATTAGTTAAGCCTATAGGCCCATAATTTGATAATCCGCCACTGAATAAAAGACCTTGGTTTTTCATTAGTAGACATTTAAAATTATAATTATATCACAGATTTCAAATAAATGTAAATGAAAACTATTATCTAAGACTGATAAACTGCTTTTGAAGCTTAATAAATATACGGAATATAGCATTGCATATTGAAACCCCAAAATATGGAATATCTATCAAAAAGGATTCAATTGTACGAAAAAGTCTAAAACTAATTTAAGCTTATAAATAGCTTACAAAAAGAATTAACATGCATGACAAAGTCATTAAGTTCTCTTAAGCTTTAAACAAAAAATAGTTTTTTGAACTTAAGAAACGTTTCTATTTAAAGTAACTGCTTTAAAGTAATTTAATTTTAATTCACCTATTTATTGTTTTTTTTAAATCTTTTTTATCAGCGTAACACTTTTATGCTTATTAGGGATTTTAATATAATTGTTATACTTTGTTAAAACTTTTTAAAGGGACTCCAGGCAAAGATTGCGATAACCTAATGTCATCGCAATAACATCTTTATCTTCTTTAAAGCCCTTTTTGTTTAATTCTTTACTTAATTATGATCATAGTAATAAAAATAGTCTATATTTTGTATACAAAAAAGGAGCTTGGTGACAATATTCTACTCAGGCCCGGCTCCAGATATTTGGCAAGCCTAGCCACAAGCCCTGTTACAGATATTTAACGGCCATATTTATAAATTATTTACTTTTATTTTAAAATAAAATTCTAATTATTAAATACTTTAGATTTTACAACTTTGAACTGAATAAAAATATCAAAGTTTAACAAAAAAGCGATTTTCTGAGAACGAATTTCTGATTAAATTAAAATTTTCATTTTTGCTTTATGCGAAGTTCACCCTTCTTGCTTTCATGTTTGAAAAATCGCCAATTAATGCTGAAAAGTTAATTTCAAAAACAATATTATTTTCGTTTGAAATTTTTGCTAATCCAACAAGTCTGTTTTGTCCAACAACTTCCCAGTAAGCATAGGACGTTTTCAAAACGTTTTAAAAACGTTTTGTGCTTATTCGGTTGTGCTGATTCAACAAGTCTATTTTATATAAATATTCTAATATCTTATTAAATAAATAAAGAAATTAATGCTCAATTTAGTGCCGCAATTATCTTTGATTGTTCAAATGGAATTATATTAATCGAAATGATTATCCGAAGGGAATTATTGAAATGATTAAATCCTTAACAATTGTCCATAAGGTATTCGTTGAAAACTGTTGGAATGTTTAATTCTGATAAAAATTTATTTAGATTAAACTTTCTTAAGTTTAATACAAAACTAATAATATATATATATATATATATATATATATATATATATATATATATATATATATATATATATATATATATATATATATATATATATATATATATATATATATATATATATATATATACATATATATATATATATATATATATATATATATATATATATATATATATATATATATATATATATATATATATATATATATATATATATATATATATATATATATATATATATATATTTCTCCTGTATTAAGGTTAATTATTTATTGTCCAACTGCAAACAAAATGTTATATTTTAAAAATGTAAATGCCTTAAAAGTATTTAAAAAAATTTGGCGAAACCTCATAGCAAACAAATTAATGCAATACAATAAAAAATATCATAAGAATAATATTTCATCTCTATGTCAATCATCTCAAATGTCAAAATATATTTTTCTATTTTATTTGCAATCCTAGAAATAACTGGAGTAAATTATTTTTTATATTTATTTAATTATCTACATTCTATAGATGGAAAATTTATATAATATAATGATATTTATTTCTCTTTGAATTTGACTTAAAAATAAAAGTTTATTTGCATAAAATAAAATTAAAGGAACATAAAGTTTGTTACCTGAATTCTTTAATAGATAACCGTGGTTGCATACAACATTAACAACCAAGATAAATAATAGTGAAATCATTTTAATTTACTTTTTAATTCAATTCTAACTCAAAAAGAAAAATTTATAACAACACCAAAAAAAACATTAAATGAACAAAAATACTAAAAATATATATTAGGTATTTCCCTCACAGTTGTACAAAATATATTCAACTAATCTATTTTTATACAACTACGTATTTAAAAAAAAGTTGTTTCAACTTCAACATAACTACGCATACATAGCTGTTTACATTTATAGATAGTATTGAATTTTTTTATTTATTAACAAACCAATGGTTTATTATATTATATTATATAAAACTAAGTTGAATAAAAGGTCAAAAATATTAGAAAACCGTAAAAATATTTTACCGTTTAAAAACTTTATAGATGATCACATAAAACATTAATAACTACAGAAAAAAAAATGTTATTGTAGACAACAACCTTCTTTAACTATGAAAAAATCTTTGTTGCCATGGCTACTACGCATTTCTATGTTTAGAGCTAATCTTATTCATAGTCTGTTAAGAGGTAGATGATATTTTGAGTACTCAACAAGGGCGTAGAACAGGAGGTCTTTATAAATGCATAAAACTAGACATAATAAGTAATAAACATTCATTGAATGTAAAGAATGCTAAATTTATCTTATTCTATAAATTCAATGAAGGTACCATCAAAGTATCAACCATAAACAACAAGGAATCAACCATTAAATTCCTTAGAATAATGCCAAGTCAAAATATATCATAGAATTTTCATATTAAATCTACTTAAAATAAAAAATCAGATATTATATAAAGCATTGAAACACCATAGAGTATCTTAATACTGAACCTATATAAACATAATTTATTTATTGTCATCTTATTATTACTTATTCTTTTGTTATTGCATTATACATTATTTTGTTATCGTAACCTAATATATTTTTCAGAGTATGTACTAATAGAAAACAAAGTGTCAAAAGACTTTATTAAAAGTATAAAAAATTTATTTATTGAACAAGAAACAAAAGAATAATTATAGTGTACCTGAATATACAAAATATAAAAGAAAAAATCATGGTTAAACACACAGTTTAAACATGATTTTACCTTTTTTTTTAAATCGTGTGACACGAATATAATATGTAAACTCATTTTAAAAAATTTGTCTTTAAAAATCGCCTCTGATATATGAAGAATGGGAATGTCATCACTTAGAAATATAAACATTATACTTATGAAAATAAACATTTTAAAAATACTATTTTCAAATCTTATGCCTATTTATTGGAATTAAATGAATTAATATTATGGGTGTGTGTAGTATATTAAATGTATTGTTATTTGTGTAAAAAAGTTACTCATAATGTTTAAATGACTCAAGTTGTCCGAAACCACCTTTTAAATATAAACTGATACCACCCGATAATACCTCATTTTCAAATCTAAACAAAAATGTATCTTTAATCTATAAAAAGTTATTAGTATACATAAAAATCATGTGTATTATTATTCGAATCAAAAATGATGATACATCGCTTTTCTGGTGGCGGGAAACAATATCTTGCACTCTCAGCCAATTTTTTCACTTAAATAATGTTTGTATGGTTTTAATTAAAATCACATAGATTCTTTAGTTAAGGCTGTACATCAAGTGCCCGGAGTTAATCGCCGTCCGGGGCTACCTGACTTTTCCTTAGTAAACAAAACTTGTAATATTGTAGTTGACGTTAACAGAACTGTTAATAGCATTCTCTTAAGAAAACTTAATGTATATAAATTTAATGCACATTCAGTTTTTCTGTTCATGCTTAAAACAAAACTTTTTTTTTCCTCGCAATTTTTAAAATTGACATGTAACACGGTACTTTATACACGAGTGCATGAGTGCCATGAAAGAAAATTTAACAAGGAACTTCACGCTTAGTTCTTCACCAGTATTTCAATTCTAAAGCAAACGCTTTAACCATTGCGTCAAGGATGGGTTGGGTCAAGGGTGGGTAATATTTCTTTTTGGAACAGTTTAAAAAAGAAATTGAAGTGTTCATACTACAAAAAGGTTTTCACCATGCTCTTTTAAAAATAAATGTAGCATATGACTACCAAGGTAGATATAACATTTTGTAACATTTTTTGCACACTTTTAAGCTTTTTAGAATTTGTACAAATAAAACTAGTTGCACAACTTCTAATAAAGAAAGTTTTTTTTTGGTGATCTAAGTACAATTAAAATTAATGGCGCCATTTTATTCTATTTCTATTTTTCTGGAATTTCGATTTCATTTTAAACTGCATATTGACATGCAAGTTGCTTCGTTTGCTTAAAAAAAAAACATCCTCAATCCAAAATCGTCTTACTCCGAAGCAAATCTTTTTGTTCTTAATTAAATATAATATCGATTGAGGTAGAAAAGATTAGTTCTAATAATAAGCTTTTGCCTCAGTTGTGCAGCTTCTTGAAGCAACTAGATTTGCAGTATCGCAACAGATTTATTTGTATAACATCATATTTTAACCGGTTGTCATTCGCTTATATTTTCTTTAAAACAAAAGTATGAGATAATCTTTATTACTTACTAAATTATTAGGTTGAAGGTTTTTTTGAGCGAAAAAAATCCAGGTTTCGCGTTTTTTATGAAAACCTGACCGGAATATGATTGAATATAATTGAATCCTGATGACTGAAATCTGAATGACTGAATCTGACTGAATCTATTTGAATCTGTTACTGAATCTATTCGACTGAATCTATCTGATTGAATTTATCTGACTGAATCTATCTATCTGATTAAATCTATCTGACTGAATCTGGCTGAATCTATCTGACTGAATCTATTTGAATCTATTACTGAATCTATCTGAATGACATAGATTCATGACTGAATTCCGGAATATGATTGAATCCTGACCGGAATATAATTGAATATCGAATTCATTTTTAATTGTTTATAAGTTAAAATAAAATTTGCTAAAATATATCAAAAATAATTATTTAATATAATAAACCTATTAAATTATCTATCTATCGCAAATTATTATAATAAAATGAGTATAAAAAGTTTAAATAAATTTAAATAATTTGAGTCTTGATTTTACAAAAAAACGCAAAAATCTCACTGGAAAAAAGATTGACCAAATTTTTGACAGTGATTTACTTGTATTCTGTCAAATACATTATTATTTATATTCAATATAACACAATTTTGTATAATAGCCATAATCTTCAGTTTTAGTTTTTGATTTATTTTATAGAGTATAATTTTATAGAATATAAAATAATCTTCTAAAAAAAATTTTTTTTGTGTGGTTATTTAGGTGCCCAAGAAAACCTAACGGCCTTGTCACATAGCACCGCGGAAGTGCATTTAACCAGGAAGTTCACACCTTCTTCCTTACCGTGACTCGAAAATATGTCTAGAGCTCGTTTCGAACCTCGATCTCCTGCTTATAAAGCAAGCGCTCTAACCACTGTGCCACGGCCGCAAAAAAAAATCTTTACATTGCTCTATATTTTTCAATACAGAGTAATGTAAAGAGTAATACAGTATAGAGAAAAATACAAATATAAGTAAGTATACAGAATAGAGTAAAATATAAATATAAGTAAATATACAGTATAGAGTAAAATATAAATATAAGTAAGTATACAGTATAGAGTAAAATATAAATATAAGTAAATATACAGTATAGAGAAAAATACAAATATAAGTAAGTATACAGAATAGAGTAAAATATAAATATAAGTAAATATACAGTATAGAGTAAAATATAAATATAAGTAAGTATACAGTATAGAGTAAAATATAAATATAAGTAAATATACAGTATAGAGAAAAATACAAATATAAGTAAGTATACAGAATAGAGTAAAATATAAATATAAGTAAATATACAGTATAGAGTAAAATATAAATATAAGTAAGTATACAGTATAGAGTAAAATATAAATATAAGTAAGTATACAGTATAGAGTAAAATATAAATATAAGTAAGTATACAGTATAGAGTGAAATATAAATATAAGTAAATATACAGTATAGAGAAAAATACAAATATAAGTAAGTATACAGAATAGAGTAAAATATAAATATAAGTAAATATACAGTATAGAGTAAAATATAAATATAAGTAAGTATACAGTATAGAGTAAAATATAAATATAAGTAAGTATACAGTATAGAGTAAAATAAAAATATAAGTAAGTATACAGTATAGAGTAAAATATAAATATAAGTAAATATACAGTATAGAGTAAAATATAAATATAAGTAAGTATACAGTATAGAGTAAAATATAAATATAAGTAAGTATACAGTATAGAGTGAAATATAAATATAAGTAAGTATACAGTATAGAGTAAAATATAAATATAAGTAAGTATACAGTATAGAGTAAAATAATACATTATAGAGTAATACATTAAAAAGTAAAAAAAAAAACATTATATAATAATGTATAGTTAATGATCTGTCAAAAGGGGTGAAAACAACAAAATACTAATAATAATGAGTTGATTGCTCCATAAAATATTTATGCATATTTACACAATATTTACTATTATAGCAGGTTTTTTCATGATAAACGAATATTCCAATTTTCTTATTTCTATTAGAGAGCACATTAACTTAAACAACAAAAACTTATTGTAACTTTAACCAAAGTTTACCTGATTAGTTGTTTTTTAACGAATATATGTATATTTAATAATAAAAACCACATTTTTAACAAATAAAACAAGGATGCATGTTTCGACAAGTTGCTAGTCATCTACAGTTGGATTTAAAAGCTTATTTAATTTTATATACAAATATTTTACGGTAATTAAGCATAAATCACGATTTTGCTTATAGATACTGCAAAATAGCAATGACAAAAATAATAAAGATATTAAAATATTTAACAAAAGCTTAACGACTTATAAAATGGTAACTGTTATGTGAAAAGAGTTGAACTATTATAGCTTATAATGGTTCAACTGTTTGTTAATATCTGAATTTTCCCATTAAAATTTTATAATTATCAAAACATTTCCAATAAAATTTTATAATTATCAAAACAATTATTTTTAGCATGGAGATGTTTGTATATGTGTGAGTTTTTGTCTCTCATGTCGTGTTCAAT